TCAAATTTAAAGTAGTAATCCAAATGTGTGGGCGTGGCCAAGCGTACTCCGACAGCCTGAGCTGCAGTCAGCCTCTCCACACACACACACCCTCCCCCTCCCTCCCTTTCTCTCTTGCACATGCACGCACAAGAAATGAAAGAAAAGCAAACAGGCACATACTTGGTTTTGTTTTTCCGGAGATATTTTGGTGTCTGGATAGAATCAGGTTCCTTTGCAGTCTTTCGGATTCATTCACTGTGGACATTTGTGGGTTGCCTGTATAGATCTCTTCTTGATTCCGGGCCCAGCCTGTGCTGGCACCTGTAACATGAACAGAATCACTACATGTTAAGATAACCCACATGTGCTGCCAAGACTGATTTCTTGGATAAAGCACTTGCCATTAAAACCTGATGACCTGCGTTCAATCCCAAGAACCTCCGTAAAGGTGGAAGGAGAGACCCGATTTCCAAAAGCTGTCCTCTGACTCCATAAGTGAATACACACGTTGCCCCCCCCACCACACTTACTTCTTTACATTTTCATTCAGACAAATGCAACCATACCAAATACTCGTGCACCCAAAGTTATGTCAGAAAAGTCTCATCTGTCTCGTTTCTCTGCACACAGGTCTCTGAAAGAAATGTCCCTATGTGTCCCACACTTCTATATCCATCCCTTGTCCTCGCTGTCATGACACCCACCCCTCAGGCCTACTGGCTGCTCCTGCCCAGAGCCTCTCCTGCCTCAGAGCCCTTGCAGCAGCCGCTTTTTGGCCGGAAGCCCTTTCCAGGGTGGCCACAGTTTGTGATCTTACTTATTTGGGTGTCTTTCCCGGTGGAGGCTTCAGCGCACTGTGGCAGCCCTGCCCCCATCTTCTGTTCTCAGTTTGCACCTGACACAAAACAGCCCTGGTCTTGGGTTGTGTGTTTATTCAGTCCCCTCCTCCCACCACTAGAATTTCTACTCCTCGAGGGCTTCTCGGGTTCTCAGTGCCCGGCTCTGATCGATTTTGTCAAATATGACAGGTGGCTGTTACAGCAGGAAAGCTCTGAATCACTTGGCCAGAGGCATGAGCTTCTGTTTTTCCTTTTTTTTAATAGGTGCATCGCCTTTGACCTTGGCTCTGCCTTTGACCTAGGCTCTCGTGAGACCTGAAAGGCACACTGGGCAAACTGAGGTAAGTACAGTGGCTATTATTTGTTTAAATTTTATTGGTAATACACATAATGTCTTTATTATTTTTAAATATGCATACAAAGACTATCAGAGAAGAGGTAACAGTCGCCATCACTACCCCCACCTCCCATCCTCCCTTAGGGGTGAGGACTGTCATTCACTGCTAGTGTTCTGGCACACACCACATACGCACAGACCACACACCACACACACACACACACACACACACACACACACACGTACACTTTGTATTTTACTTTGCCATCTAAGGAAAGAGCCATGCAGTCCAGGTGCTTCTGGAGTGTGCTCAGCAATACTTCGTTTGTCTCAGAGCCTTGTTCATCAGCACAGTTACACTCCAGATTGTTTTGGTTTTATACTATTTCAATTCAACTTAAATTTTACAAAGAGTAAACTTCACTGTTGTGGGGATTTTGGTTTGGTTTGGTTTTTAGTCTTTTGGTTTGGTTTGGTTTGGTTTTTAAGTTCACACGAAGGAATTCTCTTGTGAACCTGCTCCATAGGGAGACAGAACAGCCCCACACCCTACTGTATGCTGCTCTCTCTGTAGGTTCCAGACGCAGCAGCAGCAGCAGCATAGGTGCTCACACACGGTTAAAGTATGTAGGATGGTAAATGCTTATCTGGATGTGTAGGTTTAAGCAGCTTAAATTTGGGAGAATTTGGGAGGCCCCCCCATCCTCCGCAACAAGCATTGTGCTATTTGATAATCTGTGATAGTTTTAGGCAGTGAAGTCAGTTTCAAGGCATACACTCTTTTGGTTCCTAACGAGGCGTTCCCAAATGCCGTTGATGCCAGCCTTTGTGGCAGGGTGCTGGGGAAACGGATGCTGGGAAAGCAGTGCCTGGGCCTCCGAGGACTGGGATACTCTAACTGTGGGTGATGGGAGGCTGGAAGAGTCTGGCTTTGGGTGCTGACTGGCAGTCTAGCTGTGGGACTGCACTGAACTCGGGGGGAACTGAGTGGCTCTTCTCTGAGCTTTCCATATTGGTAAGTTTTGCCAGGTCCCTAGAGCTTGTCTGTGGGATGGCCTCAGGGTCAGAGACTGCTTCTTGCAGGTGTGTGTACGCATCAGTTGTTGTTCACCTTGGTTTGTTTGGAGTTTTTGGTTTTGGTTTTGGTTTGTTTGTTTGTTTGTTTTTCCAGTAGATCAGGCTGGCCTCGAACTCACAGGGATCCTCCTACCTCTGCCTCCTGGATGCTGGGATTAAAGGTGTGCGCCACCACCACCCAGCTTTGTTTGAGACAGGGTCTCACACTGGCTAGAGGAATCTGCTCTCCTGCTTCCCTAGCACTGGGATTGCCTCTGCACCAGGCCCTCTTACTCTCCTCTCTTACTCTTACCAGCACTCTCTTGGCTTTTGTGACTTAGGAAGCTCACTGCCCTGGGACTTTCCAGTGTCTGGATTTAGGTGTGTTTGATGTATCCTATTGAGGTGCTATTTCATCATTTAGAAGAATATCACAGAAGTGATGTCCCATCATCAGGGTATCATCCCAGGGACCCAGGGTGTCTGCCTGTATTATTTCCAGTATTGGTCATCTAACTCACTTGGCTAAGGTGGTGTCTGTGTGTCAGGTAATTTTCCTGTCAGTCCGCCACCATTTTCCAAATATAACTCAGACATTTTGGAGGGAACTTTGAGATTCTGACAAAGCTCTACTTTTCCTCAAACTTGCATGCACCAGGGTCAGCATAAGCCGATAGCTCTGTCTCCCCTGTGACAGTTTGTACTGCGATATCTCTGTAATGTCCCCATAGCCTCTCCATTTGTTAGCTACGGCCTTGGCTAATTGGTGCAGAGGACAAGAAGGAGGGCCCTTGTCAGGCTAGCATCCTTTGATTGAGAAAAAGAAGTTTCTTACAGTGTGATGGGTCAGGACTTGGAGCCTCCTTGTTTCTGTGGGCCTCTTTCCTCATGGTCAAGGGTTGCTGCTACAGCTCCAGACAGCATATATAGGGATTAACTCCAGTGACTCGTGCATTAAGTCTGGACAACTTGAGCCCTCCCAGAATCCCCTAGATGACACCACTTACATCTCATCAGGCAGAACAATGTCACATCACTTCCCCTTCTGCAAGTCAGGTTGGAAATTCCATTTAAGTTTCCAGCCTTTCTAGAAGAAGTAGCCAGAGGAAAGGGCAAGGGAGCGAGTCAGATGGTAAAGCAGCCAGCGATGTCTGGCTCCACAGGGGGGAAGAGCAGTAATAATTGGTATTAATGGGAGCTGACTCTGTGCCAGGCTCTGCTGTAAGCACTCTCTATGCATGAGCTCACGCTGCCCTTATGCCCACCCTGTGAGGTCATTGCAGTCACATCCCTGTAGTAATGGCGTGGAAACTGAGGCACAGGGTGGGGAGGCTGCTTACAGAGTAGTGGGCCTGGGTGGAATTGGTGCAGCCTGTCTCCAGAGACCCTTCAGGCTAGG